TTTATATATATATATATATATATATATATATATATATAATTTTTAAAATACAGGCTCTGTAGGAATTAGGATTGGCAAATAACATTTTTCTATAAACTATTTCAGTAACACTTTACTTGATGCATATCATTATGTACATTATAATACATAACTGTAACCAAAGTTAAAATGCATTATAATATTTGCATATTCCTTGTTACATCAAAAATTGTTTGTTTGTTGTGTTTTATTGCATTATACTTTCTAAAGATGTAACAATGAATAAGATGAGCATTATAACTGGTCACAATTATTTGTGATATCGTACATTGCATTATAAGGTGCATTACAAGGCATAATTAATGCACTCAAAATATTTTTATAATGCGTTATATATAAAGGCTTCAAGTAAAGTGTTAGCACTGTTTCTTTCTTTTTTAAAGTCTTGGATAATGTAAATACTCCTCTGGCAGAGAACAGCTGGGACTGTTAAATTATTCATGCTAATGACAATGAACTAACCAGTTCCTCTACAGGGTGAGAATGTGCTTGTTAAAGGTGGTGACTTTGTCTTTATCAGTGTGTTTGTAACAGATTCATGCTCGATTACATGTGCATTTTAAGGGCACGCAAGATCTGTTCTGAGAGCGTGGAACAGAGAAAATCACACGATGGAGCGGCACATTTGCAAGCAAGCCTTGCGTCTGTTTTTGCAACGAATCTCAGCGGCTTGATGTGTAAAAGCATGTGATGTGCAGGGTCTCAAACGCATTCAGTGTCTGACAGTTTTAATAATGCGCAAAAAAATAAATAACGTAAAGCAATGTGCCGCTGGTGTCATCGTAATGTACATTTTATTCACACCTGATACATATTTACATAAAACATGGACATCAGCCATGCCTGTTTTCAGCAAACACAGCAGCAGCACAAAGAAAATGAAAACAAAATCACACGCGTGCATAAATTAGATTTGATTACTAATCTATAAATACAACTGCCTCAATTAAACTCCATTATTTAACCTTTAACAAGTAAAAAATATAATCTCAAATGAGAAAATAACAGGGCTGGACATTTGCAGGAATCCCAACATAAAGGTCTATTATCATCAAGATAATAAAAATCATCAGCGATTTCAGTCTTATGCTGATTCATTCATCAGATCATCATTCCTGCAGCTCATTCCCACCGTTTCAAATGGGAAAGACAGTGTTAAACTTAAAATCCCACAAGCAAACGCTCATTACGCTCGACGTCACAGCCATCCGGACACGGCGGCGCGGGGGATTGGGCTCCTTCGTGGCGCTGTGTAAAAGTTTAAAGAGTCCAGTGCCGATGTTCATGGGGATTCCCATTATAATGCACTCAGAGACACCTGCAGAACACAGCAAGAGAGCAATGAGTTTGAAGAGGACAGCTGACATCCAGTTTGCTTATTTAAAATGTTTTTTTAATAATATAAAAATAGAAAATTAATTCATTAATAATATAAAATAAAAATCTCAGTTTGCGCTGCTAAAAACAACTAAATTGAAGGGTGAATCTCACATTTCTACATCTAGGAAAATAACATTTATTTTCGCACATTAGGGAAATTAGTAATAAAATATTTTTGCATTAAGGACCGTTAAGATTTTTCACATTTTGCAGCCAACACATTTCTTATTAGATGCACATTACTGTAATTTTGTACAAAGATTTAATTATTTAATTCAGATTAGCATAAATTAAAGGCAGTGCAAAGTAATATTATTATGTATAATGAACAATTAAAAATAAACCAATAAATAATATATAAAAGAAATATATGAGAATGAGGAATGTGGTGAATTAGGGGTGAAAATGCAAAAAAAAAAGTCCTAAAAAAGGCTTTCTTTTCTTTTTTATATAAAAAATAAAATATAAATAACGTAAATATATTATATAAATAATTATAAACTGTGTACACACACACACACACATAACAAAAGCCAATGAGTCTATTATCATCATCAGGATAATAAAAATATCTATGAGCTCAGTCTTGCATCATAACAGCAATTCATCATATATATAAATTAGATTAATTATTGATATTCATATAAATATATTTTTTCAGGAGTGTTACTGACAGGCTCATTTCTTTGCTCATGAACTGATCTGTTCCATTGCGTCATTATTTGTTTCTGCTCATCACTCACCGCAGACCGAGTCTTTCTGTCCGAAATAAGCCGATTCAAACAGATGATCCGCCGTCTTCTCAAAGGACGCCAGCATGAGAACGCTCTCCTTCATCTTGGCCAGACCGAAGCGGGTGATGCCCAGAATCTCACCCTACGACCCAAGAGTCATCGAGACGCTCTCATCTCACTCATCAATCCTTCACTCAGCATCACTGTAATGCATTTATCGCTTCACAATGGCCTTCAGCAGCTGAACTCAACTCACCTTATAAGACATGAGATCCGCCAGCAGCATGACGTGTCTGCGGTCGATGCTCATACCGTGGTTTACCATGGTGTACTGGATCTCGTTAATGATGGTGGATCTCGCCGCTTCGATGCCTAACGTCCTCTCGACCTGAAAAACACAAACAGATCATCAGACTGATATGAATAAACATACACACAATATACAAGCTGAACAATAACCAAAAAAAAAACAATTCTGCTAATTTTCACAAAATATGATGACTAATATTAACTAATTTGATGATGCCGAGTTCAAAAATATCAATAAAAAATTTTCATCATGTACAGTTTTTACAAAATGAGAATGAAGATTTTTCAGATTGCTTATGTATCAGCTTTAATGCACTTGTCAAAACAACAAAAGCAGTCAAATGTAAAAAGTTTGGGTTTTAATGACAAAAGAAGTATTTAAAATATATAATTTAACTTTTCAAAATCTGTTCAAATACTTCATTTAATCTCAAAGAACATTACATAAACGTGAGTTTACAAATAAATAAGCTTTTTCACAAAATCTGACACTGTTTGGAAGCAGTAAAACATCCACAGATGAAGCAGAAAACATCTGGATCCGGTTTGCATTTTCTAACCTTGAAGTCAACATTAGGCATAAAATAATTATGGTTGCAAAGGGGTGGAAGATTTCCAGAAACTTTACAAAAATTTCCAAAACTATCTGAAAGTTTCCCAAAAAGTTTCCAGATATTTACCGGAAATGTTCCACCACTTTGCAACCCTAAAAATAAAGTCACATGTGTGAAAATGGGCTGAGACTTGAACAAATCATTGTAGTGTGGCTCAGATTCAGACAGGATTCACGTTTCTGTCGATTAAGGGATAAATAAAGGCTTCTTCCCCTTACAAAAGGTTGCAAGTGGCTGTAAATGAGCAAGAAACGAGTCTTATATTTCATTCAGCAGAAATTTAAAAGAAAATAAAAATAATAAATAGATAAAAAACATTAAAATAATTAAAAATATATATATATAAATAAAAATGTAATAAGAAATTAATTAATAAATATTATAAAATAATAAAAAAATTTGAAAAATCTAAATTTGCGCTGCTAAAAACGACCAAATTGCAGGGTGAATCTCACATTTCTACATTTAGGAAAATAACATTTATTTTCACACATTAGGGAAATTAGTAATAAAATATTTTTTTGCATTAAGGACCATTAAGGTTGTAAGTGGCTGTAAATGAGTAAGAAATGAGTCTTATATTTCATTCAGCAGATATGATGCAGGGCGGTGTAATTCCTGCATTTAAAAGCAAAAACACTGCCGTTTGCAGAAGGAACATTGAGGAAAGTGAACAGCTTGTGTTTAAGTGTTATTTTAGTATCATTTATACACTAATATGGTATTTAATAATTAATATATTTCAGTTTTACTAATTCAAGTACTTTGAAAAAAAATTATTTAAAGTTAAAACTAATATTTACAGTTTTTTCAGCTTTACTTACAACTTAGTTTTAGTTTACAATACCAACACTATTCCTCATGCACTAATACATTTTTAGCATTTCAACTGGCATAAATGAACATAAATGTATTTTGAACAAATATGAATTAATAATGAACAATATATTTCTAAATTAACAAAATACTGTATTAAAAAAAATCGTTCTCCACTGTTAAACTTTATTAATTGCTATAACTTAATATAAAAAAATAAAAGCTAGAAATTTGTGTTTATTCTTTCTATATGCTGTTTAGGTGATCTTTTGAATGTTTCACAAAGTGTCTCCAGGTTCTATTCAACAAAACAGAGAATCTGTTTT